AACTTAGTGAATTATTAAGAATTTAATTGGAAAAATATACATTTTTCTTCTTGTTTCGTTAATTTAAGATTAAAGAAGCATTAAAGTATCGAAGGACAAACATTACAATGCTCAATCGATGCCCCTGATAGACATAAACTAGAATGTAAATATATTTATTTGACTGAAATTTAAACAGAAATGTAAAACTATTTTTAAGTTATTCTAGCAAAAGAAACATGCAAAATATAACAATTTATGATTATTTAAACACGAAAAGTTCTTTAAACATTCATATTCTTCGTGGATGGACGGCTTTTTAATGAGCAATAACATCGGAAAAATTGGCAGAAAACTAAATTTTGGTTACATTTTGCTACCTTACACTAACTTTTGTACTTCTCTTTGTACAATACAAACAGTTTATATATATATTTTCGTTATGATACCATCACGTAAGCGGACATCGGTAGTAATGTAAACATCTATGCTAACTATCGATTTTTTTCATTTGTTGCCTAGTATTAAAGCTTAAATACGAACCAAAACAGAAAAATATAGCAAATTCATCCCTACCTGTTTTGTCAAGTGTGTTCAAAAACTTTTAAATTTCTTTATAAACGACTTTAAAGAACCCTTACCATTCAAAACATACAGAACCGCGCGCGCCCACTTTCTGTCAGAACATGGCGGACTTTTACCACGTCATACAACAAAATAGAAAATTTGACAACCCATTGTCGCTAATCTGATAATCTAGGGTACTCTAGATTCGTGAGCTATCACTCTCATATTCTAATCGTTTGCATGTCTTAGCCTGCTTATCATTTCCGGTAAGTTTCTTCGTGCTGTTGCAATCTTTACAAACGGTAGTGTATGTTATCACAAAATTAAAGTCAATTCGTTACTTATAAAATTGTAAACTTCTTTTTTAGATTTGAAATCTGAGCCCAAATTTAGAAATTTTAACATAAATTTCATATTTTTAACTATTATTAAATAGAGTAGACTTAATTTTTATGGTAGAAATAGGTTTCATAAAAATATTTTAAATGCTAATAACGAATAAAATCGTCATCAATTCCGACCCTACTGGAGATATACGCGACACTGCTTAACACGTGTTGGTCCTTCTTCGTTACGATTTCTCTACAGGCGCTACGGTCGTTCTCAGCCAATGTGTTTCTGCAGCTAAAGCTTGTATACAAACGCCTTTATTTTATTATATAAACTTTATATAAATTCATAAAGGCATAATACGAAAGCTTGTATTGTGTATTTATAAATTGCTGAACTTGTAAATGACATTTTTCCATCTCAAAAATAATGATGATCATTATTTTATTTATTTTTTTAAAAAAATGCGAAACTAAGGTGAAGTATTTGCGAAATTTTATAAGCATTAATTTGCATAATCCCTTGTTTCATCACTCATATTTTATCTGCGAGTTTCTCTTTTATCTGCATTGTTAGATTTCACATTTCTTTTAGGCGTTTCCACATTTAGTGTATTTTAATAATGTTGTATAAGGAAGACATTATCATTGTACTGATAACTGTGTTGTTCATTAAATTATTTAACGGAGGTTCTCTAAATGACAAAGTAAGTAGTATGTCCTCAACATAAAATGAGCATTTATATCTATACTAATATTATAAAGAGGTAATGTTTGTAAGTATGTAAGTTTGTTTGCAGCAGGAAATCTCCGCAACTGCTCGTCCGATTTTAAAAATTCTTTCACCAATACTTAGAATCGAACTTCAAGGTAAACATAGGCTGTATATTATTCCGTTAAACATTCATATAAATTAAATTATATCATGTATGGTTAACGCTTTTTTGTCTAACAGATGGTGCTACGAGAACGACAACCTAAGTTTGCTTTTCTGTGAGGCATTATCCTTTTCTGTGAAAATGAACTAAAACGGATCATCATCTATCTAATTGTATAAATACAAATGTAATGTTCGTTTGTTCCTACCGATTCCTTTGAAATTTTGACACAACGCTGCATTCGAATGCGCACGTGTTTTTATATAATATACGTGTCGAAATTTCCTTCACTGAAGGGAGATGGTTAGGATTAGAGCTTAACGTAAAGAACTCTGCTTTTATTTATACTATTTTAGATGCGGGTTTTCGCGTTTTAATAGGGTACGTCAACAGAATGTACACTGAGAAAACATTTTTCGAAAAATTCCACCCCCACGGGAGAAGTGTTATACATTTATAATAGATACACTTGGAGCGTCTGCTAGTAGTTTATAACTAGTAATAAGTAGTTTATATAAAAATAAATTTAATTAAACTATTTGGTCAGAAATAATGACAGACAAACATATCTACATCTATCGCTATTTTTGACCAAATAGTTTAATTTAATCAATCAGGAAATCCAAACAACAGTCTTTAGGTGTTAGATGAAATTATAATGTCTTTTCAATTGTACATTCACATGGATTCTTAACTTTTCTCTCCTTTAAACATTTATTACATAGCCAAAGCATTTTACATTTTATCTGTTTCACAATCATAATGAACTAAAAATACATGTATTAATCATAATCAAATGTTTATTAACATAAAAAAGGCAATAGCCTGTTACAACGGGGTGATAACAATTACTTATTTTTACATAAACTTTTCAATAAATTTTTATCATTAAATGTCTATTTAATGTAATGATAGAATAACGCTAATTAACAATATAATTGTCACTCCAAAAATGTCGTTCTTAACATAATATATAAATTGTAAATGTCATTGCTGTTCATTCAGTCCAATTTACTGTACATAATTATTTCCATCTCTCGATTAAATTCTTAATTCTCACTAATGTTT